TTTGAATGAACTAAACTGTTTTATGTTTTTGATATAAAGAAATGCAGTATTTATATGTGATTAGAGTTAAACAGCGTAATAATTTTAAGATATTAATATTTGAATTAAACTGTGTCGAAAGAAAAAACTCCGAAGATTGCTGTCAGAAAGATTTACATATCTCTGAATAAAATTAGATATAGGATAAATGCCAATAATGCATTAACGACCTACATACAAGTTTCCGTAATAATTTATACTGATATTATTGGTATCCTTCTTAGACTAGAGATTTCCTATTGACAGTGGCGGTGACAACTAAGTGCTACTTCATCTATGTCATTAAAGATTGTTGTTATGATCATTTAATAAGAATAAGAAGATTATAGGAAATGGAATGTGATCGAGGTTGATAGATGAATGATAGAACAGAACAGAGCCATTTTCCAATGTGATGTATTTGTAAGTTTACCGTCAATGTGACAGCAACCAACCAAAATACGTTAACCCCAGAATACATTAGAAGTCAAATTACAGCATTTAACAATTAAGAAGCGTCCATATCGTATGTCAACCCTAGAGTAATAATGAATATATTAAGACATTACTAAATATTTGAACTATGACGTAAAAAATAAGCATTTTTACGGGAAAATGCACGAATTTGAAACGGAAGTCGTAAAAACATGAAAACACAAACAACTAAGATAAAATGTGTTTCCAATTTCTTGCAATCAGTGGAATAACGATAGATACAATAAATATCAAACAAAAAACAAGTTATTGTTCAATCATATCCGTGTTACAGAAAAAAACATCTCATACAATAATCTTAGTTATTGAAAACAAGCTCTCAATATTTAATATTTTGATTATAAAAATAAAAGTAATCCGGTTTAGAAGGCCAGTTTTTACGTTCTGTATTATTCTTTTTATAATACCGCATTTGTCAGTAAATGACACACATTCTAAACCAATTGTTTGCGATTTCTAGAACTATCTGAAACCATGCCTTCACAGTTAAATAGTCTTCCCTGCAATTTTAATAAGCTAAAAAGTCTTCCCTGCATTAAATCTGCAGTCTACATTTTCGTTCTTATTCTGCTTTTTTTTTATCATTTGCTTCTAGACCTGCTAAATTTGGTAATCAAAACCCCTTCCATATTGAAAAAAAGGGAAGGAGATAACGGAAGGGCAACAAAAACTATTGGCAAAGAAAGGAATTCAACACTGTGGTTCAATAGATTCAAGACAAACAGGCAAATGACTGCCATTAAAACACTAAAAGAATGAGCAACATGAACCAAAACAAAAACAAAATTAAGTGAACGCTGGTGCTCCGGAAAGATGAGCAGTTTTTTGGGCCAGATGTGATATTTTTTGTGTTACTCTTTTAAAATCAATTGCTTGGTCATAATAAGGGACTAAGTAAACTATGTAGGATTTAATTATTAAATTGTTGTAAAGGAATTAGTGTGCTCAATTGCCGTAGTGCTGTGTATTTGCCATGGTCATAATTATAAACTAACTAACTATAAAACTTCAAATTTTTAGAAAAAACTAAGGATTTTCTACCCAAGGAATAGATTACCTTAGCTGTATTTGACAAAACCTTTCGGGATTCTTGGTCCTTAGTGCTCTTCAACTTCGTACTCTATTTGGCCTTTTTAACGTGTTTGATTCGAGCATCACTGATGAGTCTTTTGTGGACGAAACTTGCGTCTGGTGTACAAAGTTTTAATCCTGGTATCTATGATGATTTATTTTTTTTACAAACACTGGATCGATGCCACTGCTGGTGGAGATTTCTCCCCGAGAGTATCACTAGCTTAGCTTTATAGTCAGCACTTCTATGTTGAAATGAATTATTATTGATATGGTCATAATTATAAATTAACTGATTATAAAACTTTGAAATTTTCGAAAAAAAACTAAGGATTTTATACCCCGGGAATAGATTACCTGTGCTGTATTTGACAAAAACTTTCAGGAATTTTGGGTCCTCAATGCTCTCTAACTTCGTACTTTATTTGGCCTTTTTAACATTTTTTTATTCGACCGTCACTTATGAGTCTGTTGCAGACGAAACGCGTGTCTGGCGAACAAAATTTTAATCCTGGTATCTACGATGAGTTTTGTTTGCCAAAATTACTCCTTCATTATTGATTTTTCGTTTGCTTTATGAAAACTGTCAGAATGGGATACGATTTTCTTCTGAACCATTAGACATAGATTGCTTTAAACAAGATGCCGATTCGTCACAGGCAATTACACTGAAATGCAATATTGCAGGATTGATTATATAACTATATCAGCTTTGGTTATTTGGCACAAAAGTAGTCATGTGAGACTTTCAATATAAGACATGTACATCCCCAATGACATAAACTAGATTCATATTACATTTTTCATTTATGTTTTTACACTTTACTTTATTATACTCGTCAAATTCGTCATTTTCTTACAGACAATGGAATTCTAAACAGAGCTTTAACATTAACTCAACAGACTATCTATGATGAGAATCTTGAAATTATTACGTAACACATATCGGTTCTCATTGGTAGCCTTATGATGTGGGAAAGATTCTATTGGCAAGAATGAAATATAGAATTGGGAACATGTCCTGGACAGGAGAATGTATTAAATCTGGACAAATTACTGTATGGGTATTTCTAATCCGATCCGATACCCGATCAATGAATAATTTTGCCTTTAATGGTTTACCTTGCTTTCCAATGTCGCGTCAAATTAATGTTAATAAATAAAAGGAAGAACTAAGATGAATAAGTTTCTTACTGCTCATCTGACTATATATGCAGATACACCAATACTAAAAATACATATTACTGCCAATTATCTTCAAGAACTTTGTAAGATTACATGTATTCTATGTTACAAAATCAAATGATATATCAAAACCAGATACACCAAGTCCACATGGTACCCCCTAATTGTGCATTAGAATTATTGTGAGAATGATCTTGATATCTAGTAAGCATCTAATAACAAGTTAGTAAAATGACTGTGTAGGAAACCAAGCATGACTTCTCTTAAACTGAGTTTTACTGTGCGTACTGTTGTACGTTTGTTTTTTCTACATTGGCTAGAGGTATAGGGGAGGGTTGAGATCTCAAAAAACATGTTTAATCCCGCCGCATTTTTGCGCCTGTCCCAAGTCAGGAGCTTCTGGCCTTTGTTAGTCTTGTATCATTTTTAATTTTAGTTTCTTGTGCATAATTTGGAGTTTAGTATAACGTTCATTATCACTGAACTAGTATACATATTTGTTTAGGGGCCAGCTGAAGGACGCCTCCGGGTGCGGTAGTTTCTCGCTGCATTGAAGACCCATTGGTGGCCTTCGGCTGTTGTGTACTCTATGGTCGGGTTGTTGTCTCTTTGACACATTCCCCATTTCCATTCTCAATTTTATGAGAATATCCATATGCAAATAAGTATTGCATCAAAAATGATTAAGATGGGCTTAGAATACCATACTTATGAGTATTATGCACAAAGAAGAAATATAACACCTTCCCCATACTTAAACATCCACATTTTACTTAAAAGTATGATACAGCGAAGCACTCCAAATCTTTTAAGAAAGCTTAAACTTGTGTCGCTTAAGGTTGACCAGTTTGTGACATAAACTGTTGAGAAACGTATACCAGAAAGGAGGAGGTCCGGTAAGGGCCGATTTTGGCCTCAAAACTCAGGTTCATCTGATGAAAGATTTCTGACACTTTTTAAACACTTAAGTGTCTACTTCAGCCGATTCCATTACTTTATGTGAAAGATTTGAACTGATTTAGTCATTAAAGTCGCTCAAATTCAAGCTTAAATATGAAAAATCTATCAAATATGCCATAATATGTCACTTTTCGGATGGTTTTTGTCAAAAATGAAAGTGGCCGCATCCGTGTTCATTCTCAACCTTTATATATGTTATGTATTATCATTAAATACAACTTACATTTAAATATTAAGAATGAACACAAATGCGGCCACTTCCATTTCAGACGGAAACCGTCTAAAAATTAACCAAAATGCTAAACTTTCGAAGATTTCAGTAATTAAGCATGACTTAATGATGCTAGTACCAGATACATGCGCATTGTATTGTCAAAAACTGCCCATATCTAAGTAACAGAAGTATTCTTCTTTCCAATAAATAGCTAAAAATTTACATTTTAACAATTTTGAAAAACTGCTATATTTTGGGGCCAAAAAGGGGTCTTACTGGGCCTACTCCTTTGTCGCTTTCTATTGGCCAGTCGAAGTTAATGAAGTACGTGATTAAGTGACAGTAGAGCCAGTAATATAAACATTTGGTATTTGATGTCTAAGTCTTGGTCATTTGTTACTTCTTTACTCAGTTGATAATTGTTAAAAAATTTTCAGGCACTATTTTCTACATCTTAATATTCATGGCAGAGAGAATGGTTTTTTTTTTGCTTTAGTCATTTTAGACATTTACTGGAATTGGTTTAAAGCAATCGTTACTTGGGTCTTATTCATTTACTATCTTCTCTACTACTTACACGATGTGAACGTTTCCTGACCGCTTTACTATATTTATAATCAACGTGTTGTTTATTGTGTTGTTCTATTCTCGGTCTTACATTGGTTTAAGATTTTTCTACCCAAGGCAAAGACTGCATAAGCCGTATTTAGCACATCTTTCCGGAATGTCATTTTTTTCATTCTCATTAACATGGTATTTGATGTGGCCTTCAAATTATTTTGATTGGAATGCCACTGATGAGTCTGACGCAGACCAAACGCACGTCTGGCGTACCAAATTAAAGTCCTGATATCTTTGATGAGATTTTACATAAGTCGAAGTTCAATTTTCCGGCGTTCTTTTTTGTTTTTTCTTTTGCTACGTAACCAAAAAAGGCGCCTATGCCTGATGATGTTTAAAATGACCACATGTTTTGTAGATCAATACAGTATGTTTTATATAAAATCTTGATACAATTGAGCAACTTTTATTATGCCAACATCATGAATATATTTACCTGTCCAGCAAGTATTCCGCAAATCCCAATGACAAACAAAATATTGAACACGGCTGAACCTACAATGGTCCCTACACCTACATCCCCTTTAGTTATAAAAACACCTGAAAAATATTACAATAATTATGAAAATTTCTTTTCGATCAATCTAATTTAACCGAATATATCTTCATTTAAATTGTCCATACTAAGACAGATTGGATATCAAAGTTAGTACGTTCGGTTGACTACTGAATTGCTGACTAACACTAAGTCTTGTAAACATAATTAAATTGTTTTTTTTTCTCATCTATATTTAGATTTTGAAAATTATTTGAAAATCAGTTTCACAAAATTCTAAGATATGGCTATATGAAATGTATTTTGAAACAGACAAGTCTTCGAGGAGGTAAAAGAAACGACAGCGAGCTTTTTTCAACGTCACTATATATAGAACGTGCAAGCACCTGGCATCTATGCTGTAAAACCGTCGTGAAAGTGTTTATGTTTGTTCTCTAGAATGAATATGTTTTCACTGATTTAAATGCTAGTTTTCAATAATGTTTGCAGTGTTAAACAATTTGTCGTTAATCTATAATTAAAAAATCAAACTTCATATTGGTATTTTAAGAATATATTATCAATATGCATTAGTGTGAGCCAAAATTTGTTCCTGTGAAAAAAGTACCAGTGGAACTAATATCACAGGAAATATGTTCTGGAAGAACTTTTTTCACAGATAATTTCTATATAATTTGTTCCATCTCTATAAAATAAGTTCCACACTTTACCTGGTGAAATAAGTCCTGGGTTTGTAATATTTGTTCCTTACCTAGTGAAATAAGTTCTGGGTTTGTGAGATTTGTTCCCCACCTGGTGAAATAAGTTCCTTGTCTGTGAAATATGTTCCACTGGTTAAACAAGTTATCTTATATACTGAGCATTTGTCATCAGTGAGTTTCAATTTATCATTCAAGTACATTATAAACACATGTATTATATTGATAATGTAATAAAATAAAAGTGTAAACATCAAATTTGGATCCTGTGGAGTATGTAGTATGTTTAATAACATACTACATAAAAATACCAAAATGACACTTACTTTTTATATTGTGTGGGTTTTTCATGGTGATATTTTTGGTGAATTGTTCATAAAGATTTTTAAAATTTTGATTTCCAGAATCACTAACGGGGAATAGATTTTCTACTTAGGCATCAGGGACAGCAATATAAATGCGGTATCTTGTCATTCTAGTGAAATCTTTTATTATATGCTACTGATGAAGGAGTACGTATTCACTATCATATAAATACTCAAACCATAAATCATTTTTAATCTATCTTTCCGTAATCAAAATTCTTGTACGTGTTTATCTATTTAAAAATTGATATGGTTTCAGTCTACTCGGAAAAATGAGCAAAGCAAAGCCCATCGAAAATCGGGGGTGATCTCAGATGCTCCGGAAGGGTAAGCAGATCCTACACTACTATGGGCTCCCGTTGTGTTACTCATGGTAAGTAAATCTCATTCGGTGATGTCGTAATCGAGGAAAGCAGGACGGGCATGTGGTTACGACAATAGGAACAAACCATACTTGGGACCCTTGGAACAATAGCTTCTATGTAACCATCAACCCTCTGTAAATAAAATCATGATAGGAAATACAAGCTCTGGAATATCGAATACTGATAAATCTCGGGTATACTTAGAACCGGCCATTTTTGTCAACCAGTAAGGACCATGTATGGGCCTCTTAAAATCTAGTTTGATTGAATTGTTTATTATGGTTGCTATCTCGTAAACTGTTTTTGTCATATCTCATTGTATTCTTTGTGTTTCCCAATGATGCTGTTGACACTAAATGTGAATTTCAACTTTCAAAATAACATTAGATTTGGTGCAATATCATTCAGAGAGCAGTATTTGTTGATATCAGCTACTCGTAAATGATTGCCTTGCAACTAGCATCCTTTTAAGTTTAGCCTAAAATACTAATTTTTATAATAAGCTTTTAAATTAAACTGCGCGAATGAAAGCTTCTTAAATAAATTGTAAAGTAACTTCCGGTCTGTGTTTATGTTTGATGTTTTTCTGCTTTGTATCGATCTGATGAGTTGAGCCCTTTTCAATTGATTTTTATAGTTTGTTCTTATGTTGTGCTGTTACACAACTGTCCCAGGTTAGGGGAGGGGAGTTGAGCGCTCACAAACATGTTTAACCCCGCCACATTCTTTATGTGCCTGTCCCAAGTCAGGAGCCTGTAGTTCAGTGCTTGTCGTTGGTTCATGTCTGTCATATTTGTTTTTCGTTAATTGTGTGTTATAAATTAGGCCGTTAGTTTTCTCAATTGAATTGTTTCATCTTTTCCTGTCGGTGCCTTTTATAGCCGACTATACGGTATGGGTTTTTCTCATTGTTGAAGGCCGTACGGTTGCCTATAATTGCTTACATCAACTTTATTTGAACTTTGGTGGATAGTTGTCTAATTGGCAAGCATACCTCATCTCCTTAATTTCATATTAACCTAGTTGTCCAATTGCAAAATTTGGATTTCGGCCACGTTCATAAATACTCTGTATATTTTTGTAGATAGTACCCGATTGATACGACGCTGCTTATGTCTTTGATTGCATTACAATGATCTAACACCACCATTTTGGCTTTTTAAATCAACAAAAATGTTTGCTGTTTGAAAGAATGGGTCCATAGTTCAATTTACCGAGTACCCAAAAAAAAACAAAATTGTTACTAGAACCAAATTACCACGAATGACACGGTACAAATTTGTGATATTACTTACCAATAATAGCGGTAAACAGTTCTGGTGCTGAACTACCAGCAGCCATAAACGTTGCCCCAGCGACATCTTCACTAAAGCCAAGTTTCTACAACGAGACATAGCATCATTTTAAGTTAATGTGATAAAAGGTGCTACGGGGTTTAGACAGCGACCCAGCAACACAACAAATACGGAAGACGTAAAGTTATTCACAATTAAAGAAAAGTATTGAGTCTATATCGTCATAAATTTAGAGAAATTATCAAGAAGATATATCATCGACACCAAAGTCGCCGATGACAAAACTCTAAGGTATTACTGGAGACAACCACTGACAAGGACCCCGACCTGTTGAGGCCCATAAACTGTGTTAAGATATTATTTTTTGGTACCAAATCTTCCCCATTTTGATGTCGATCAGTTGAATAACAAAAGTTACATAGAAAAACGTACAACAGCAAATATTTCTTTAAGTTTTTTTTTAAATATAAATTCATTTTGAATTCATCTTTGTGATGACCTACCTGACCATTATTTTGTTGCACAAATCGAATGCTAAGGGTTTTTACAATACATTTTATAGATTTTCTTTTCGTAAATAAGTTATAAAATGATTGATCCGTATTATATGTAAACATATACATAATTCGGGCAGTGTAGGGAAAATAAAAAAAAAATATTTGTACTCGCTACGAAACAGGAGATTAGCTCGGCAAGCCTCGCATATCTCTTTTTTTAAAGCTCGTCAAATAAATATTATATTTTCCTACATTGTATGGATATTTTATATGCATACGATATGGCGTTTTCAATATCAAACACTGTATCAACCCTCTTCCAATAAAATCATTCCTCCGAGCAGATTTCTTGGGATTATGTTAGTTTCTCGGATTGATATTGGTGTGCTTTTCAAAAGACATATAATATACTCGATTTATTTCATCATGAGCAATATTTCAAGTATAAATAGGAATAAGCGTATTAATGAATAATATGGTTTTACTTGAATTTCTAATACGCGTCATTGATAAGTGTATAATTATGCTGCCACAGTAATAAGTAATTATTTATATGTAACGTTTCATTCCTGTAGGTCTAGACGGTTTATCTAGAACCATAGAATTGTCTATAGCAAGCAATAAAGATCTATTTTCTGTTGAAGGAAGGATTACATATAATGCAAGAGGGTTGATTAACTATACCTTTTACATTTCTTATTAGAGGAAATCGCTAAATAGCTAAATCAAGATAAAATATATAAATATTCATCTTGAAAACGGCTAGGGAAAGAAAGATTCAAGCCAGTAACTAAACAGATAAAAAATTGTCGAACACGTCGAAGACTAAAACATAATCATCGTAGTAGAGTTTGTGTTATTCAATCTTCGGAGTCGTCTGTGTTATATTATACTTCTTTTTCCTGTCTTTTTGTCATTTTTTGGGGTTATTGTAATTTTTTCACAGTTTTCGATTCAACTACAATATGCCTATTATTAAACACATCCGGTATATTTTAATTCCATTTAGATGTTATATAGATAATATCCTGTCAATATAAATAAGAAGATGTGGTATGAGTGCCAATGAGACAACTCTCCATCCAAGTCGCAATGTATGAAAAGTAAACAATTATAGGTCAAAGTACGGCCTTCAACACGGAGCCTTGGCTCACACTGAACAGCAAGCTATAAAGGGTCCCGAAATAACTAGTGTAAAACAATTCAAACAGGAAAACCAACGGTTTAATCTATATAAAAAACGAGAAACGAGAAACATCAATAAATCACACCAACAAACGACAACCACTGAACAACAAAAGATGTAGGAAGAGTGTCAATAAGACAACTCTTACCTGGGACGAAATGGCGTTAAATAAAACAACGTACACGGGTAAATTTAAATAATTAATTCAACGTTTTGTGACTAATAAATGTTTATATTTCCTTGAAATAAAGGACAGTAAGGTCTGCTTTATATCTTGTATTCCACATAAAAATGACTATTTTTGTCAGTTGAGCACCACGACGCTTGATTAGTGTGAACAACATCTGAATCGGGTGCTAGTATAAAATGCAGGTTATGGGAGAATCCAACGATAATATTACTTAATGTACCTCATTTATAAATAAAAGAAAATGTATGGTATCCATGCTTTGAAATGATCGAGCAACAATCTGAATTTGATGACTTTCTGTTTAAATAAATCTCAAAATTTGCATTTAAAAGTTATTTGTTTGCTTCTCAAAAACATTCATTGTAAACAAGTTATTATCGAATGCAATCATAAAAATCTGATCTGTCAGAGAGTAACTTATGTAGTGCAAACCCACATGAGGTATGAAGTTTTTCTGTCGAGTGTGTAATGTCCTATGTGTTTGCTTTCAACACCCCCCCTCCTCAAACCCAACCCAACCAACAAATAAAAAGTAATAAAAAAATTAATTAATCAAAACTAGAGATTTAATTGAACAATTACATGTATTATATAGTTATTCTGTCAAGTTTAGTTCCATTATATGTTAATTTGTTTGACATCAAGTTGCGTACGCAAACTTCCAAAATGTTGTTTACGTAAAGAGTTTATTTTCTATTGGAATCCCGAATATCAATATGATTAAACAATAAATATTGAGATGCATAAACTACACATGGCGAAAAACAATTCAATAGCAATTTTTTTTCTCAGTCCCATGAAGAAAAAAAAATTTGCGTTGTCAATTTTTTGTGACAGGCTGACTGACAACTGATATATCTTTAATCTAAAACAACAAAAAGAATACAAACTCATCGATTTTTAAACATAATTACTTTCCTCGCCATTTTGTTTTCACGTTAACATAATAGCATGTTGAAATTGTGTGCAATGAAAAGAATATGAACTGAAATAATATGGTACGTAATAATATGTTTTCGATGTAAAGTCGTTTGAATTTTAGCACGATAAAAATTATGTGCAATACACTTACATGACTAATGTTCTAATGAAAAGCGTGCGTCTGAAATATCTTTGTTACACAACCCAAATGGATAGATTAATGCAATAAAAGTATATCGAAGTAACAAAGTAACACGCTATAATCTTGCTCAACTGTAATTATATGATACGGATATCTTGAAAACATAAATTCAATCCAACGAGAAATGATTACACAAGGAATGCACTTTTTTCTTCAAGATGTTTACAGAATTAAGACCAGAGTATGTTGAAACTTGATATTTTAAAACGTATACAGCATTGAGTATCATGATCGGAGCCAGTTTATGGGGATAACATACAATTTTGAAATTTGCAGATGACCCATCCTGATTGGAAGTTGTGTGTTCCTGGTATTACAAGACATTTAACAGACCCTTGAGGGGTCCCTGTACTTAAGGGTTGGAGTTCATTCATGGTTAGATTATGGTTTTCTTATAGGTAAGGGTTAAGTTTTAGGCTTTTGCTAAGGGTTTGGGTTGGGTTAAGGATTAGGTTTTGGGTTCTAGTTAGTTTAATATTACTCTCTATAATTACAGTAAAAAGAAAGCCAGTTTTCACCGTCTTATATTTATTGAAAAGTAATTTCCAAGCTGTCTATAGGGGGCGGATCCAGGATTTGAGGCTATGAGGACGTAACCGTAAGAATGTCGCTGAATGGGGCTATGCGGGATTATTTTCTACTTATTTTATGTCAAAACATGTCTCTTTCCGATTTTAGGGGAAGGAGCGCACACTCGCTGTGTCCATTGAATCCTCTCCTGGTAAATGTATGGTTCAGTACAAAATTGATTGCTGAAGAAGACTACTTAATGTTTTTACAGATCAGAAACGGACCCTTATATTTTGGGCATTTTGGGGCGGAAAAATATTGACCAAATATTTTTCTTTACTGTCATGAGTTTAAAAACGTGTACTACACGAATTTCTGGAAAAATCCTCATCTGTAATTCGTGATTAAAAACTTGAAAAAAAAATCAATATCAAACGTTTGAGAGCATGCACCATAAAAGAAAGTGATACAATTGCTTTGTATATTACTTGTATACAAAAGTATTTAGTGAACTATATAACATATGTTTTCCATTTAGCCATTTAGTGGACTAATACAAAATTCTTACATTTAGTCACTTAGTTGACTAAAATATACGTCACCCCTTTTGTCATTTATTAGACTAATACATATATCATCCCTTTAGTCACTTAGAAGACTTAATAAATTATGTCTTCCTATTAGTCACTTGATAGACGATTACATAGGTCATCCCTTTATTCCCACGCAAGATTTTCCTTTATTGACTTTGTAGATTAAAACATATTATGCCTTCCCTTTAGTCAGTTGGTAAACTATTACATATGTGTTTTCTTACGTAACTTTGTTGGCATATGCACATGTCTTCTCATTAGTCACATAGTTGACTATCTCATATGTCTTCCCTTTAGTCAACTTATAAACGAATACCTAAGTATTCGCTTTAGTCACTTAGTAGGCTATTACATACGTTCTCTATTAAGCGACTTAAGCAAACGTCTTCTCTAGAGTCACTTTGTAGACTAATAACATATTTCTTCCCTTTAGTCGCTTAGTGGACTAGAACAAGTGTCTTTCCTTTTGGCACTAAGAAGATTAATACATACATGTATGTCTTATATTAATCACTAGGTGGACTTATACATATGCCTTCCCCTTAGTTACCCTGTTTAAGTAAGGCAAACATATAAGGTGCATCTGGAAATTCTTGCCTTGACAATTAAGAATATATATGATTTAGGGATTGAAATATGAACAATTGTAGAAATAGCTCAACATGTTATGCCCTATCAAAGTCTAAATGTTTTTTTGTTAGTTTACATCGAAAAAAGTAATTGTAGTTATACAACAAGTCACATACAGGTTAATTGATATAAAGTTACTTTTCTTACAATGCATCTTTATTCTGGCTTCTTTTTTTTTTATTATGATTGATTTTTTTTTATAAATTGGTTATGGTATTTGACCAGAACATTCGGATAAAAATATCCGTTCTAAATGGTTTTAATTTATATTAACGAAATATGTTCTTATTCTACCAGAACATTCTCGTTCCAGATATATATGTGTTAGTTCCTGGACAAATTAAGACACTTACTTGACATATCCTGTCCAATGAAGTTACAAAATAGTCATCGCAGACGACAGCTAAGGCAGCGAACATATAGATAACAACCATCACATGTACAATTAAGGCGCCATGTTCTCTCTGTGTATTGGTAAAGGCATCTGGTGGAAACTCATGAAATGCTGTTATAAAGATTCCACAATAATATATTTTTCAGTAACATAGTACAAAATGTAAGCAGTAGATAATACAGTTATACAGGCATATAGTTACTTATATCTACAATTTCTATTCTGAATGAACTAATATATTTATGTAGTGTTTCTTCTTTCTTTCATTGGAGTTGAAATAAAGCAGATAGCTTAATAGTTTGCACTTTAAATCCAAAGAGGGGTTTTAAAGATTTTGTTGTAATAAAACAACAAAGGTTATGGGTATCCATCCATGACACAAAATCAGTACATGAGCAGCAAAAGACACACAATAAGCGCTTTAATTGCAGTTCTTCATCTCAAAGTCACTTGAGTTGCTTTGTTTGCAGGAACAGGTATGATACTTTTCATATCCATTTATAAATATCAAACATTTAGTTGAACTGCAAAATTGTTTTTTATCTTAATAAATTGAATACACTATTAAATCGAAAAAGTATAAAAATATACTATATCATATTTATGACAATACTAAAAGGTTGTAATGTTATCGGATTTTTACATCACATGTCCCGTTTTAGCTTTTATAACGCCACATCGGGCATGAAGTGAGCGATTTGTATTATTAAAGCATCAGCTGAATCAGCCTTTATGAATAAGCCATTTGCAGATTAACTCAAGAGATGGGAACATTAATGCGATAGGATTCAAAGCTAATCTACTTACAGTTCATAGAAGGATCGACTTAGATAAATAGTCATTGCTATAAACTGACACATTTATTCAATACGATATTATCTTTTTCAATATTTAGCATCCAAACAATAGTGAGAGAAAATTAAATCGAAACCGTTCTAAGCCAACAACATTTTAATTGGTTTTAAAACTTTGAAATTTCTTTAATGTCAGTTCATCTATTTATTCAATGCGATATTACTTTTTTTATAACATTTTGCATCCAAATAATATTTTCCAGAATCCATTGGTTAACGATAAAAGAGGGACAAAAGATACCAGAGGGACAGTCAAACCCACAGATCGAAAACAAACTGACAACGCCATGGCCAAAAATAAAAAGACAAACAGACAAATAATAGTACAGATGACACAACATAGAAAACTAAAGACTAAGCAACACGATAAAGTATGTTGTTTCACAGTAACTTTGAAGCCCGGTTTCATTGCTGATAAAATAGATGTAAGAATCTTTGAAAGATGTTCCTTAAAATTTTTGACAGACCAATCAATATAATGTTTGTTTGTAAGAACATTTGTGTAATTTGGGTGTCTATTTAATTAAGAGAAGAGAGGTTATTCATCTCTGGTTTAAAGTCCAAGGAATAAAAAAAACCAGACCTATCGTGAATTGTTAACTATAGCCAATCCTGATATCAAACGTTCAACGTATATAAAGTTTATATTATTGAAAGAAAAGTATGAACAGAAATCATTAGATATTTGAGTTACAATTTAAGTCATACTTTTTAGGTCTTTGAAGATAGACCTGATATCTTTTTTAGACTATAACATATAGCAACAACATTACAGTAACCACACTCCCGTCCTCTTTTCCTCGAAAGTGACCTATCGAATAGTGTACTTATATGTGCAATACGACGGGTTCAACATCTGGTGTAGGATCTGCTTACCCTTCTGAAGCACATGAGATCACCTCCGGATTGTGATGGTGTTCGTGTTGCTCAGTCTTTAGTTTCTTATGTTGTGTTTTGTGTACTGTTGTTTGTCTTTTTGTCGTTTTTGATTTTTGCCATGGCTTGATCATTTTGTTTTCGACTTATGAGTTTGAATAATGTATGTCCTGTTCTCAAGAGGTACCTCGTGGTTGGCAGTTTCTTCCTCAGTATAAAATCACCGGTGATTATTAAGTCTGATGTTGAATTTCGTTTCAGTTTCGCCAACATATTGCAGCTTACAAGTTCCATAAGTAAGAATATAAATACTATTTTTCGTTTTACAGTTAGATGTTGTATCGTTGCTTTGTCTTTGTGCTGGTGAAAGAGTTTTCAGTGTTGGCGACTTTACAACATTTACAATTGATTCTTCCGCATGGATTATAACACCCGATACTTTCACCAATACCACGTTTCATATAATAGAGGTCAACCAAAATTAGGACAACCAAAGTAGAAAACAGAGAGAGAGAGAGAGAGAGATTTCGGATGCATAAGCTACGTACTCTTGAACCTTATGGATTGAATGAGAGAGTTGAAAAACAGTTTTATCAAAAACCAAAGGAATAAATCTTGAACTTCATACTATCTAACTAACACAATTATTTGTTTTGATCTATTAAACACAATGTACAATAAGCTGCAAAAATAAATTTAAAGTATATGTACGATAAGCTGCAAAAAATTCCTAACAGCATCGTGTTTCACCTGGATAGCTACACGCGCCTGATGAAGCTAACTTGTTTAGCGAAATATTGCGTGAATATATAAAATATAATAACTATTTGTATAACACTCATTACCGTTTATAAGTTACTTTCGTAGGAATTTATATAATTTGAATCAGTAACTGCATCAGTTTATTTTCAAACTGATCCACGCCTAGATAGATTGAATGTTGATTGTTGCTTTTTTTTGACACTATTTATATATAATATATATATATATATAAATTAAGATCCATTTTGTTACATCTGTGATCCGTTTATTTGGCAATCGCCATGGCAGTCAGCAGGGTTTAAGAACATCCATTGTTCGACCTGCTAGTCAAATGCGTTTACTTAAAATATACTTTTTCACTTTTTGGTCTTTTGGAAAATGTTGTTTGTGCTGTATTTAGACCCCTATCCCAAGAAATTTGTTTTGCATGCACACGTATAAAAATTGCGGTTTTTATCCAATGCAATCATGGGTTTGAACGTTGTTTTCAATTTAGACTTATATATATACGCAATCATTCTAAATTGAAAACAACGTTCAAACCTATGATTGCGTTGGAAAAATACCGCAATTTTTATACGTGTACATGCAAAACAAATTTCTTGGTAGAGGGGTCTAAATACAGCACAAACAACATTTTCCAAAAGACCAAAAAAGTGAAAAAGTATATTTTAACAAAACGCATTTGACTAGCAGGTCGAACAACGGATGTTCTTAAACCCTGCTGACTGCCATTGGCGATTGCCAAATAAACGGATCACCAGATGTAACAAAATGGATCTAAACTATAAATTTAATACCAAACAGAAAACAATAAACTTGCGGAAAAGATGGTATACCGCAAACAAAAGGTGCAAAAATTAGTACACCATATCCGGATTTCGACAATTAATGTCTCTTCAGTGCTGTTAGGAATCGAAACGGTATTTGGAAGGCCATAAAATTTACCTCAATTTAGGATAGACTCTTGAATTTTGAAGAGTCGAAATAGGATGAACGGATAGTATAAACCCGAAGGCAAATATAATACAAGCCAATATATATATATATATATATATATATATATATATGAATTAAATTAAAATTTATAAAAATGCCGATATTTAATATTCTGAATAACATGATAAAATTTAACAAAATTTAACGATAACGTCCATTATCCTACCGGTTTCACCTTCGATCATCAGGAATAAATCAGGGATTTATCTGATTTATCCCTGATGATAATAACAGATTTTTACACAATATTAAAAAACTAAAGAAATTCTTTTCGGAAAATAAAAGCACGTCGAATGTCTTTTCTTCTCAGCCCTCAGTTGAAAGATCCCTTATCAGGGTTTATCATTCAGTGTGTTCATACATCATTATCAACTTTTGGGATATCTGTCTTTTTATTGCTTGGTCCGTTATTTCAAATATTCTTCTAACGGGAGAAACTGGATAAGACATTTCTTCTGTGAATTCTTAAACACGCATTCTATTTTACATGATATTTTATATTTACAAATAAAATATAAATGTCCTTACCTGGCTCTGTACATATTGGTGCTTGCTTCAGAATTGTTATATTAGGCATTGTACTGTCGTTTGTAATATTGTTTAACACATAGATGATAGTACTTTCCAAGGGTCTCATTGTTGTTTCTATGGACATTAAGGTAGATGTTCTCCTGTGTTCTGAAAATTTAGTTTGATAGTTGTCTCCAGTTGAATTTTCCATGTTTGCTACACTGAAAAACACATGGAATGATTCACAGTCAATAACAAATATCTGCTTTTTGTGTCAAGAATGATAGAGATGTGTATCCTTTGATGAGGATTAGGTTGCACAAAAATAAATTTAATCCTACTGATGTCAGGTTAATGCTTATTTTTCACGCACTATAAAATGATTTCGAAACAAAGCCTATATTTTTTTAAGCCAATTGCATTAAATATTTTCCTTGAAATAGATATGACTCTTCTGTTTTCATCAAGGTTTCAATACTAATTATGGTTTTGTAGAAAAGTAGCAAAAATCAATACTGGAAAAATTAACGGAATTATCCTCACTAACAGGCTTGTCCGGTTGTGTATAATTTATATATCATTCCAACTCAGCTGTGTGAGAGCAACAAGCTGATCATGCTGAACGAACAGCATATAACTTTTGTCAAGCGTTCAAAACATGAGACCAAAAAGAGAACGTAAAATGAAAAAAGCAACAACTTTTGTTCTCTGCTTGACATATATATGATCACATAAAAATCAAATACCAGTCTTAAATCTTTATTTACTTAACCAAATTTTAAAATCTGTCCACTTACTGGAGGACATCAAAGTGATACTCGCGTCCTCTGATATAAGAGATGAAAACAAACCATTTGCATTATTCTTCTTGTTAAATAGTTATTGAAATTAATGGAGGTGCCTGCATCTCAAGAAAAAAAACAAGAAAAGGAGCAAAAGTAAAAAGAGGGAAAGAAAAAAAAACAATCAAACATTCAAAACAAATTAAATAGTATTTTGATTAACACGACCCCTATTGAATACTTTCTACATATTTTTTATTCTGGTATATCAATAAAAGACATGTTTGGTGTATTGGAACATCCCAATACATTTTCATTGAAATGTTCATACAGCACCTAGTTCTATGCACATTTCATTTCCAAAACGGAAATATTTATTGATTTTTTTGGATTTTGAACCTATGGATTTCTAATGAATGAGTTTCATGAGATGATTAACAAAAAACTTCTTTTATATGTGGTGAGTTTTCATGAGATGATTAACAAAAAACTTCTTTTATGTGTTTTAAATACAATTCGGTAAAAGTGATTATTAAAACCTGTTTGTTCTCATTTACCATCTCATTACTTCCAATTCACTACGGACCATATTTAAATTAATCTGTTTCCCTTTAAAATAAGCAACAATTTTGATTTGCCTGTTTCCAGTTAATTCTACAGAATAATTGCGTTTCAAATGTAAAAAGTTGTGACAAGCCCTCGCATGTTTACAAGATTTTGTTTCCCGAAGACATTATAGAATTCAAATTTCTGACTGTTTTAACCATCTTTTTCTTGTGAATCTGTATTCATCCATACTTAAGTCTCAGTTGTTCAATAATTGAATTTAGATCTGTGATTGTTTCACTTTATCACGTATTAGTGTGTTTTCAAATCACTTTTGTATCGTATCCAAAAAAATTACAACTATAGGATTTTCTGTTTCGATCAATGATTTGTAATTAATTGTTTAATATATTAATCCCATATATCCCCGTTTAAGTATATAGTCTTTACAATGAGAAGGGAGCATAATCTTGTTTTCATGAAGACTTTATAATTACGCTATTTCAAGCAAAATGTACTTAAAAGTTGTTTTGCTTTTCAAGAGAGTGGCTTTCTGAAGAGTGCGTTTCCATTCTACATTCTGTCAGTGATGAATATTAAGATTAGCTGTTATCCCCATTACAAAGGTTTCCGGTAGTCATAATGTAAGTGTGACATAAATCACTTATACGGAAAAAGTCACTACGTTTGTTAGTCTGCTATACAAGTTACTGCATTTTTATGCACCTGTCCTAAGTCAGGAGTCTCAGTGTTGTTCAGTGGTTGTCGTTTGTTGGTGTGGTTCATAGGTGTTTCTCGTTTCTCGTTTTTTATATAGATTAGACCGTTGGTTTTCCTGTTTGAATTGTTTAACACTAGTCATTTTGGGGCCCTTTATAGCTTGCTGTTCGGGGTGAGCCAAGGCTCCGTGTTGAAGGCCGTACTTTGACCTATAATTGTTAACTTTTTATACATTGTGACTTGGATGGAGAGTTGTCTCATCGGCACTCATTCCACATCTTATATATATAGTCCGTGAGTAATTGTTTAAAATGGATTTTTTTTTCTGATTTTAAAAACATTTCATTATTAGATTCAGAATTAGTTTTACTTTTTGCGATGATATTAAAATATATAGTTCGGAGATAGTTTCAAGAATATAAACTCAAATTTCTAATGTGACGATTTACTACATTTTTGCAGTACTCTTCTACTACATTTCAATGTTACCATCTACTACATAGACATATTTTGTGACATCGAATTTAATATTTATCATCACCTCATTAATAATCAAAAACTAAATGTTCCAAAAAAGACATGATGACATAACAAATAATTGTGAATTATTTTTTAAATGATTTGAAAATCCGATAAAAAATTAACTAGAAATACATTTTCCAAACATTTCTTAGACAGTGTATCACGTTATTACGGCGATTTTGATACTCAAGTGAATTTAACTCATTGTCAACTAACCACACTGGCCAATACGGTAGGTGTTCCAAGCAGAGCAGTGAGTATGTAGCTCCCGATATCACTTTCGGTTAAATCGGAATTCGTAGTGCCAAATCGCTAGTTTTAAATGTCGCTGTACGTTTACAAGTTATTCTCGATTTTCTGGGGTTTTTTTATGTGTTTTGTTTACGTATTGATTGATTCCATTTGTAAGATATTTAATATTTAATTTATTTAATCCGTTATTTACAAATAAGATTGCAACTAGAGTAAAAACAATGATGAGCTCAATAAGTGCATGTAGTTGTCACTTTCAAATTCGCGAGTCAATGATGAGTCTTTGTAGACGAAAATCGCGTTTGGCGTACAAAACTATAAGCCTGGTATCTTTGATGAGGTTTTTTTTAGAGAAGTTTTCTGTATAATTAGAGTTATTAAATAAAGAACGGATTCATAGCTGTAAAAGATAAAAGATGATATACACGGCTCGTTTACCTAGTTAAAAAAAAAAAAAACTATATTCAATTAAATTCCCTGAAAACACTGTCGCAAAGTATATCTTGTCGTTTGCTAGATAAGTATTTTAAAATGTAGAAAATAATAGTAAACTTATTTTTGATATTTCAGTAAATATAATCAGGCTACAACAATGAAGCATTTGGGAGTTACTGAGTATTGCTTGTAAACTTTATTAACATTGCATCATATATTCTAAAATGAAATTCAGTCATAACTATTTCTCTCTGGAAACGAACAAATAATAAAATCGATTAAATAAACTTTGTCATTTGGAAAAATTTACTCTGTTACGAGAATAGCTAATCTCCAACAAGGTTATCCAATTCAACATATAAAAATCCCGTCAACTAAGTATTTGTGTAAATCAAATTGTCCGCTAGACTGTCACATTTCCATTTCAATTGTTTACTTTTTCTTCCAGATGATTATCAGTAATAAGTTAAACAAAAGGAAAATAATGTGCAGTCCCTATTTACTGTTCTCCTTTACTTAGTGAAAATGATGGTCAATTTGTTTACTTTTTTGGACATTCCCTATATAGTTTGACGTTTCTCTCTAGAGCAAACTAATGAAAATATACTAATTATCATGAAAATGCTGTCCCTCAAATTCCAAATCGTCATTAAACAAATACACATTTTGATAACCCAGATTTACTTGATTCATTTATTCAACTTTTCGTAGTAGCAAAGATGATATCAGTGTATATTGGTTAATTGTTTGTAAACGTACAGTGGGAAATATTTTTGGACGAAATTACAAAACCTTCAATATTTGAAGTAAACAGTGGAATATATGAACATAACTCGAAATTATTTCGTTTTGAATCAGACCATACTAAAACGGATTGTTTATGATATATAAATCTTTGACTCTGACGTCTATGCCAAACATGTGTTAATTTGATATTTTTATTAGATCTCCTTTATCAAAAGGCCTTTAAAACCATTGGCAAAGATCTATCAAATACATCCTATCTTACCCTTGATAGTCAAAGGAGTAAGTTCGGTAAGGGCCAAATTTGGCCCCGATTATTAAGTTCAATGTTTCAGGATAAAACGTGTTTAAAGTTGATGAAAAGACATGTGAGAAAGTTAAATAAAACTATTTTTGCCAAAGTTTTATTTTCAAGCACTGATATTTACATCCCAAATAGGTTAAAAATAGAGATTTTTGCGACATTGGACAAAATCGTCCGGATTTCAAATTAAGACCTAGGAAACATAGAGCGCAGGCGAATAGAACGCAAAAACATAAATTTTCAACAAAAGGCGTTTTTCCAATTTAGTCATTATATAACCTATGATTCCTTGTGACGTTGGTAAAAAAATCCTAATTTCAAAATTCAGCTAGAAATAGGGGCCATTTTAGGGCCTTATCGAACCTACTCCTTTTGATAATCAGCTAGTGGTTTTGTTGATGGTTCTTGTCTTGTTCGATATTTTATTTGAAATAGCACAACCACAGAGGCGTGATCAAATAACATAACACAAATAACATAACACAAATAAACTGTACATAACATAACATGTTAGTTTAGTCTTTCATGCTATTAACGTAGAAATCAAAATATTGTCTATATACTTATAGAAAAATTAAGTAGCCTAGATATATCTTGTTTGTAAAAAGTGTTGATTTTGCGAAACATCGTGGCGGCTCCTTAATTTAATAGCTCCCTTTATATACCTACAAATTCATTTCAGTTCGTCTTCACAATTAGAGTTAGTCATTTTGTTGGTGATCCCGTTTGAAATAATCGTATCTTTTTAGTTAGACTTAATTAAGGGTAATATGGCATTTGATCAAATCACTTTGACTTGATATTCATGTTCAAGGTTGAACCACATAATCGTTTCCAACACAACAACAAAAAGGATGCGAGTGATTTCTTTATTTAAGTTTAATTTTTCATTATTAATTTATTATATATATATATA